ACCCATCGACCATCATACCTTCAGGTCGGGTTTCAATCTAGTCGTTCGGCTCTGATTCGACTTGGCGGCGATCATCATTCTATTTGTGTCACTATCGACATGATGACTCTCCGACTTCTCTAACCTTAGACCTATTATCGACCTGAGGGTTTACTCGATTCTGTTGTTCTGCTTCCTAGGGAAAGTCGACTCCATATGGTATCACATGTCATAAAAGCTTTTAAAAGCGTGTGAGTGTGTTGCTTTTGTGCGAGGGATGTCTTTGTTTACGAGAGAGTCTGTGGGAGAGAATGCCGTTAATTGATATCTTTGTTTACGAGAGAGTCCGTGGGAGAGAATGCGGTTGAATTAACGAAATTATTTATTTTTTATATATGGGGAGGTTTGAGTTCCACCACAAAATGTTGACTCGGGTAAAGTGGTGATGTGATCAGTGATTATTATGCCCTTGGGATAAGACCGCGAAAGATTATTTTGCTTCCGTAGAGGGGGCGCAAGAAAAGCGTAAAAGTTACATTCATCAATCCTTTTCTTTGGAATCTAATCAATCAACACATTTACAACATTAATTAATATTATCGAAACTCAATGTATTTGTTACTGTAATCAACTGGATTATGTGGAATATTTATTAAATTGTTTGTATGTTTTAGTGGCTTTAATTTTATTAGAAGGTGTTGATAACCAGACTTGATCAACAAGTTAAAAGTATTTTAAAACGGTTTTTTGTTTTTTTTTATGCTTGATTAAGATAAAAGAGAATATCTATAGTCGAGAAATTGAACTGAAATGAAGCTCAAAACGATGCAAGAAGATATGTAAATAATAATGGCCCAGGTCGAACAGTACTCTTATTGCTTGAGTTGTGTAAATTTTTCAATCACCGTATAATGCCCCATTCGATTTATATGAATTACCGTATTTTATTTTTACTAGTAAAGTGCACGTGCGATGCACGTGGTAACAAATAATTTTGGCCGATTAAGTTTAGTAAGATAAGCTAATTACTTTATTAAATGATTGTACAAACGAAATAAAATGTCGAACAAATAAACTTCTAATGTATTCTTTTTTAAAATAATAACATAATGATGATGTAACAAAAAAATGGTTTAAATAACATATTGCATATCCAACAAAAGTATATGAAAAATGAGTCTCCAATAAAAAAAACAATAAATAATTAGATAATGACCTAATGTATGATGTAGATGCATCGCATGGGTCGGTATGGTTCGAATATAGATAAATCTCTAGACCATAGAAGAGTATGGAACAAAAAATGAGTTAAAATTGTGTTTTTGAAGACGGAAATGAGGAATTCGATTAAAAAACAAATAGGAAACCTCTCTCTCCCCGAAACCAAAAAACCACAATTCTTGCCCTAGAATTTGCGATTGTCTGCCTTCTCCGGTGGGACGCCGGCCGTTTCGACAGTAGCTGGCCCATGGCTGCGCGACTCTCTCTCGGTGGTGTCGATTTCCGTTCGCTCAAGTCGGCGAGGTGGGCGACGATCCAAGAGGTTTCGCCATCTTTCCCGGCCACCTCTTCGGGCAGGTGGTCCACCAATCTCCGGGGTGGTGCAGAGGTCGCCGATGCTTCTATTGGGATGGGTTGTGGCTCCGACGGCAGGATTGTCGAGGTCAGTCGGAGTATAGGGAATTTGACCCTTTACCTTTTTCCTTTGGGCTCTGGTGCGCAGGTCGAGTGTGTTGCTGGCGCGTCGAGCCGTGGTCCGTGGTGTGGGCAGAGCTCGGGGCGATGGTGGTGAGTTTGGAGAATGGTTCAGTTTCCTCCGGCTGAGAATGGGGTCGGCCGCTCGGGTGCAGGGGCGAGTTTTAGGGTCTAATTCCAGTTAGATGCGAATGTTTCAGTTTCTGGTATTGGAATCTGGGGCGAGTTCCGGTCTGTATGGGTGGTCGGCCATTGATATTACTGTCGTGATTGCTTGCCGTGTTCCCGACCGTGAGAAGGGCTTATCTTTATTTTTTTGTGTTGTTCTTTGTGTTTGTGTTTGTAGTGTTTGTTTGTGTTTGTTTTCTCTTGTTAATGTCTGTGTTTTGTTTTCTTCTCTTTTGGAGGAGCGTATTATTCTCCTGTGGGGAGTTAGCGTCATTCTCCTGTGGGGAGCTTTTATTTCTCTTTGTGTTGTAGTGTGTGTTGTGGCTTCTAGGTTGGCCTCCTTGAGCAGCTCCTATTCCGGTTGTCCACCAGTTGTAATTATGTGTTTTTTCGTTAATGAATCTGCGTTTTGGGGGAAAAAAAAAAGAAAAAGAAGAAGAAGAAGAAGAAGAAAATGAGTTTTAAAGTTATATATTTATTGACATGCTTAATGGATATAATGTAGTCGGCAATAGGACACCCCATGTAAACCATTGCGACACCTTCAAAAAGTGGATAGTGTCATTGAGGTTTGCTTCAACGATATTTAGAACCAAACTATATCTGTAATTACTAAATTTCCTTTTGTTGTGTTTTGTTTATAAAACATAATATATGATTTTTTAGTTTTTCTTTTTACCTTGGAGTTGTTTCCACGATATTGTTGCACTTTTTACACGTGTTGTTGACATCATTCTTGTCAACTGGGGAAGAACATTTCTTGCACGACTCATACCAAAGCGTGTATTTATTCATGACCTTGTCCACGAATCCTCTTAAACAATAGTATTCGCCGGATAAAATGTTTATGGATTTAAATATTTAAACCAATGATTATGTTGGTTCTTTATAATATTTGTTTAAGTGACCTCAATTAGGTCGCACGGTTGTTGTAAATTTGATGCAATGTGAATATTCACATCCTTCATTCTCCGTGCCATTGAAGTTTCAATTATATTTGTTGGACTGACATGGGTTTTCAGCCAGAAATTCTATGGCACCACATGTGGCACCATATTATGGTGCCACAACATGATGTGGCACATTATGATTGGTGTCACAACATGATGTGTGATAGTTGTGGCACTAATCATAATGTGCCACATGTGGTGCCATAAAATTTTTGGGTTTTTAGCCTAATAAAAAGTATGAAAAGTAAGTTATAATATCATGTTTAAATAAAGTGTGATATTTTTTATATCATGTCATGAATTTAGGAATTTAGAGAACACCAATTACAAATATTGTACTTTTCCACGGTGTGTTTATTTCAAGAGCTGAGTTACACTGGTTTGCAATTTCAATTGCCTGATGAAAAACATGTGAACAATATGAGAGCAATTATTTAGTTAATAGATCACTATATATCAACACCATCAATAATGGTTCATCACCGGATCAAAACACAAGCTCTACTAACAATAAAACATCAATAAGATAGTAGTGAATTGAATTAATTTCATACGCCACAAGAGAAAATGATAATGTCTTTATTTAATTAATTAATTTCGTTACTCATATTTCTAGCTATTATTACAATCATGTCAAATAATTTAAAGAATTGTTATATAGTAGATCATATAATTGTAATTAATTTAGCTATTTATGCATGTATTTTATATTTAAAATAATTATATATAGGAATTTGTTATATGCAAAATTGTATGCAATTAATGTAATTAGAAAATTGAAAAATTAAATTATAGTTTATGTAATTATTTTTTTGGTGCTAACCGTTGTACGTCTTATGTGATATCAGATTACTAATGTGATATCAGATTACTACTGACAATAAATGGTCTTTCTTCAACCATATTATGTATCTTGGTTCCTTTATTTGATCCATGTCGTTCCATAAAAATACTTGTATCGATACCTACAAATACAGCCAATTGACATTTTTTTTTAATTATTATTAATTTTTAAATGATAAAAATTGTATGTTTGTAGGAAAATAAAATATGTACTATTGGTCCATAAATATTATCTTTTTTATGGTTGTTTTTGCTCTTGTTGCTTTTGTGACAGTCTTGATTCTTTGACCTTCATTACAATCTCACATGTCTTCCAAAATATAAATAAAATTTTACTAATAGAGTGGGGTGTATAGAAATACAAATTTTGTAAATTGAATAACATATACATACCAATTTTTTCATTTTCAAGACGTTTGACGTCAATGTTTATGAACTTGGCGAAATTATAGAAGATATTGTGTTCTATATCTTCAGCTGCAAGCTTTACGGAGCTTTTGTTAAACTTTTTGAAATATATTTTTTTCTTGATGAATAGTCTTTTTTTGAATAATTGGGATTAATTTTTCCAACTTCTCCATCAGTGATTGAATATGTATTGTTGATTTATGTATTGTTGACTTGGAAGTTTTTGGCCTATTCGTCAATATCAGCATTAAACATTGTTATTCTGATCTGGACTATCTGCATGAATAGACATTAATAGAATAAATTGTAATACATAATTGTTTATCTCAATGTCATGAACTTCCATTTTATATACGATTTTGCAAGTAAAACAAAAGGCTAAGTTAGATTAATGAATAAAATCGTAATTAAGATAAATAAATGTCTGCATATGGTGTTAAATATACATATCCTAAGAAAAGCACACAAAATATATATTTTGAATCTTGCAACATAATGGTATTGCATGAATCTATATTCATCATTCAAAACTAAATGGGTAGATATATCATCACGCCTCTTGTTTGCAATTATTTTTTTTTATAAAAAAAAAAATGCCCTTAATTCAGGATAGAATCGGATAAAAATGTCAATCATCATATTGCATCATCAGTAGATGCTGCAGACTAAGACTGGGGGGACAAAAATACTATCATCATATTTCTAAAAAAAATCTGATCCTTATAGTCATCAATGATATTCGTTTTATTGAAAGCTAAAAATACAAAACAGGTCTGATACCTTTGAATCATAATAAATTACATATACCACGTCATCACAAAATGGAATGCTTGACAAAATTAAAATGCATACTTACATCCTTATCGATCATTGTCATCTTCTGTATGCGTATGCGTGTATAACCTTTCTCTATGCAGCGTGACCTTTAGCTTTATTTATGCAGCGTGACCTTTAGCTTTATTTATCTTGCAGGAGTTTTTTCCACCAGATATCCCCAATGCCATTAATAGTTCCACCACCTTCGATGACTAAATCTTCCACCCTGTCAAAAATAAGCCAATGCCTCTGGTCTTCTGCGTAATCCGAGCGATCATCCGATGCTAGGATAACTCCAGAAATCTGCAACAATTATTTAGTTTCTTAACATTTTGATTATATAAATACATATTTATGTAATTAAATGTGATTTATATAATTAATCTTCTTTATTCAACCATTTTACCTCCACTTTTACATTGGATTTGCAAGGACCTGAAAATCGCAACGGTTTCAAGAGAAAACTTCTGCTGTGCGGCACCAGAAAATCGACATAGTTTGGTGACGAACAAGCTTTTTCCCACGCAACTGCAAACACCTAAAATAGACACGATTAATTTCAAGGATAACAAAATGTTAACAAAATGAATAACATAGAAAAGATGAACCCGAGTTAATTAAATTATAACATACCTTAGAATCATCAGTTTCCCATCTCCTTTAGCTCCAAAGCTAAGCACATTAACTGTCCTAACCGGCTTTCAAGTTTTCGGACTGACTTATCGAAGTCGGAAAAAGAGTCAATGGGTCTACCATATGAAGGATAGCTGCGAAAATCGATGTCATATTCCTCTTCTAATAAATGGCTACCGACCAAATCATCATTGAGGCTGTTGGTGCAAAATTGTCTTAAAGACAGGGCAATTATCAAGAATGTTAAAAAGTAGTGCATTTCAAGACCCATAACTTGCTGTTTATTTTTTATTTTTTATTTTCATTGGTGAAACTAATGATGGTTGTTTTATGAATACCAGAAAAGAAAACTCTTTTTGGGGAATTATAGTACGTTTTTTTGTGGTAGTAATTATTATGGATATGAGTGATGACAAAAGCCCTGCATGTAACCTTCACATTTATATAGGTTTATAAGGTAGTACTTTTCTTTTTTATTCTATTTTTATTTTTTATTCTTTCTGTGTTTCATTTTTTATCCATTACTCTACTACTCTTACGACATGGAGATGGGTATGGAGAAGATTTAGAAGAAAGGTTTACCAATAAAACAGAAGCCGACTTTTTTGCTTGTTCTTGCTTGCTTTGCATGACATGCTGCTATTGTACATGAAAGTTCAAATTATGACTTACATAAGATAAAAACAATAACTATTCTATTCCTCATTATGTAATTACATGGTTATTTAAGGTAACAATCACAATATGTATCTCAACTCACGCAATTATTATTATTATTATTATTTTTTTCATTTGCAAGTTCCTTAATTCCTATTAAATCACTACAATTTTGTGAGTCTCGATAAATGAAATGCATGCAAATGTAATTTTTCTCTTTGAAAAACATGCGTATCAACAATCGTGTACTTAAACGCATCCTCTCCAAATATATTATCCATGGAATTCTTGTTGTGGTTGATGAATAAACATCGTCCCATACCGATATTCTGTTGTTTGGTCAGAAGAAGTTCAATGCAAATTTAGGTTAAGATGTAGATTTGTCAAGCTTGTGTAGGGGCCATGGTTAGGCCTTTTAACAGTTTCTTAGTAATTTCTTAGTGAGAAGGGAAATTCTTAAGAATAAGAACTGATAAGATTGAACTTCAATCACATTCAATCATGTTTTAAAAAAATTATGTAAAACTATATATGTGAAATAGCGAGTAAACTATATATGTGAAATAGTGAGAAGGGAAAAATGTATTAACTTCAAATTAACCACAATTTTCTAATTGAGGCAAATTAGTACTTTTTTTTTTCTTTGTAAATTAAAACACAAACCAAGAAATGGAGAATTGAACTACCATTTGCAAACGAAATGAAAACAATTCAAAAACTACCATCTATCACAACTTATTATCGAAAATACATAAGATTGAACTTCAACCACATTCAATCATGTTTCAAAAAAATTGTGTAAAACTATATATGTGCAGAGGACCCAACCATTTAAAAACTTCATTACTACTCCAAAAAGGAAAGGGAAAAAAAACCCTTACCAGGACCGACGTGGTGCGCCTGGTGACTGTATGTCGTCTTCTCCGATTGAAAAGCAGATTTTTTTTGCGCTGACCGCGGTTTGTTTTTTTCGGGCAGAGAAAATGAGTAATTTTCCAAGAGGACCGCCGTGATGAGTAATTCTAGAATGAGTGGGCGTTTGGTTAGGTATTTAGATAATTAAACATTAATTAATAATTAAAAACTGTTAGTATAGTATAGAATGTGTATTAAATTATAAATTTGACATTATAATTATCAAAATGTAAGGGTATTGTAGGCATTTTATAGATTTACAGATTCATTGGCATATTTATAATAGTATAGATTCGCTTGTTGCAGTGTCGGCTCCAGGGCCTCCCATTATTAGGGGCATCAATTTTTATTTTTTTTAAATGTTTTATGTATTTATGTTTGATTTTGTTTATTTACACCAATAAAAAGGACTAATAACTAATATAAATTTGGCCCATTACACAAATGAAGAGGCTAATTAATGAATGAGCAATAGCAAAATATATACTTTGTCTAGAAATTTGAGGCCCCAAATATTTTATTTGTTTTCTTATGATGTTCGGTCAGAACAATTGTGTGAGAATAAATATTCTTTGTTGTAATATGATTTTTATTTTCTCTTCTTTGTTGTCTTTGCGACTGTGGGGTCCAGCCACATAATAATTCAGCAACACCATGTGAAGAAAGCAAACAAATAGACAAAAATGGTTGTAAGATTCCAACCACTCAAATAGATTAGACATTTTTTAAGCAATGGTGGGTTGTAAATTTTGATATTGCTGCAATCCTTCAGTATAAATAGCAGCATTCAGCAGATCAAAAATGCACTAATCGAGAAGAAAAAGAGAGCAGAAAGGATATTTTCTGGAGTGTTATTTTTCAGTGAGATAAAAATAGAGTGTTTGAGTAAATCCTGTGAGTGTGGGAAAAATACACCGGGTTGGGTATCAACTCTATTACTCCTTGTTTAGGAGTGGGGTTCTCACTGGGTCACTATATTTTACATTTCTAGTGTAAGGGGAGTGTTAAAAGATATTGTAATTATCTTGAAAATATAGTGGAATTATTCGGAGGTTGTCCCGTGGTTTTTTCCTCTATTTGGAGGTTTTTCCACGTTAAATCTTGATGTCTTATTTCTTGCATATTTTATTTATTTGAGATATTCTTAGTATGCTCTGTGGTCGCAGTTTAATATGAACTTCCACATCAGAAAAGAATTATTCCGGTATTATTGCAAGAGATATTTTTTTTTGTCATTCTTGAGTTGCTGGGATTGAGATTATTGTTTACCATTTTACCTTGATATTTTAATTTACATCTTCCGCATTTGCGCATCTGAGCTCAACAAGTGGTATCAGAGCTCAGGTTGTGCTCTGTATCGGCCAGTGTAAATTAAATGGAGGAGAACGTGGGTACCATGGTGAAGCTCACAACAACAAATTACTCCATTTGGAAGCCAAAAATAGAGGACATACTTTTCTACAAAGATCTATACGATCCTGTAGAAAAGGGAGACAACAAGCCAGATGATGTGAAGGATGACGATTGGAAAAAATTACACAGGAAGGCTGTCAGTTTAATCCGGCAGTGGGTGGATATCAGCATATTCCACCATGTTGCCACAGAGTCGAAAGCCCATACTCTGTGGAACAAAATTGAACAAATGTACCAGAGGAAGACTGCACAGAATAAAGCTTTCGTCATTAAAAATCTTGTAAATCTAAAATACCGGGATGGAAGATCAGTTGCAGAACACTTGAATGAGTTTCAAGACATGGTGAACCAACTTGTTACCACGTAAATGAAACTTGATGAAGAGCTACAGGCGCTGTTACTTTTGAGTTCTTTACCGGATAGCTGGGAGACTCTGGTGGTCTCGTTGAGCAACTCTGCTCCTGAGGGAAAACTGACTTTGACCCAAGTCAAAGACAGTATGTTTAATGAAGAAACAAGAAGAAAAGACTCTGGGGCAAGCAGCTCCCAAGCCCTGGCCACAGAAACCAGGGGGAGAAGTAAAAGCAGAGGCCGGAATAACAAATCCAGAGATAAGTCGCAATCTCAAACCAGGAGAAAGTTCAAGTGTTATCACTGCGGTGAAGAAGGGCATATCAAAAGAAACTGCAAAGCCTGGAAGAACAGAGGTTGGAGGAACAAAAAATCAGAGAACGGTGAAAATACCGAAACTCTGTGATCAATGGGGAAGTGGTGTTGCTCTCTGTTGAAGAAGAAGAATATCAAGTTGCAGATTCATGTGTTGAATGGGTCATTGACTCAGCAGCATCATACCATGCAACCTCTCACAAGGAATTCTTTTCTCTATACAAAGAAGGATACTTTGGTAGAGTAAAGATGGGCAACAATAGCATTGAAAATATTGTGGGAGTTGGTGATGTGTGCATTCAAACCGATATTGGGTGCACAATAACACTGAAGGACGTACGACATATACCAGACTTACGTCTGAATCTGATCTTTGTGAATGCATTGGATCTAGCAGGCTATACTAACAATTTTGGTAACGGCGCGTGGAGGCTTACCAAAGGATCATTGTTAGCTGCTAGAGGTACAGTGAGATCGACACTGTACAGAAATCAAGTAAAGCTGATCAAGGGTGGATTGAATGCAGTCGAAGATGATGCTTCGCCAAATTTTTGGCACAAAAGACTAGCTCATATTGGTGAAAAAGGATTACAAATTTTGGCAAGAAAGTCCCTCATCCTATTTGCCAAAGATTCAAAATTGAATCCTTGTGATTATTGTCTCTTTGGGAAGCATCATAGAGTGTCTTTCAGCAAAACCTCGAAGCTGAAAGAGAATGTGTTGGAGATGGTGTATTTTGATGTATGTGGACCCATAGAAGTAGAGAGTCTCGGTGGTAGCAGATATTTCGTGACGTTTATTGATGATGCTTCACGAAAAATGTGGGTGTATTTCTTGAGAACGAAGGGTGAAGTTTTTCAATACTTCAAAAAGTTTCATGCTATGGTGGAGAGACAGGCTGGCAAACCTTTGAAGTGTCTTCGCTCAGACAATGGGGGGAGTATACTTCCCATGAATTCAAGAATTATTGTGCCGAGCATGGCATCAGGCATGAGAAGACTGTACATGGAACCCCACAACATAATGGTGTGGCTGAAAGAATCAACAGAACCATTATGGAGAAAGTGAGGTGTATGTTAAGAATGGCTAAACTACCTAAGTCGTTCTGGGGTGAAGCTGTTCTAACGGCGTGCTACCTGATCAACCGATCTCTATCTGTTCCTTTGGGCTTTGATATCCCTGAGAGAGTATGGTCCGGACATGATGTTAAATACTCTCATCTAAAGGTGTTTGGATGCAAAGCTTTTGCTCACGTAAGCAAGGAACAGAGAAGAAAACTTGACGATAAAGCCATTCCTTGTATATTTCTGGGCTATGGAGATGAGGAATTTGGCTACGGGTTATGGGATCCAGAAAATCGAAAAATTATTAGAAGCAGAGATGTAGTGTTCCATGAGCAAAAAACTATGTCTGATTCTGCTTCACCAGAAATCAGAGAACCAGGTGGAAAGGTGGATCTTTCACCTGTCAAACCTCCTGGAGATGCCACAACATGGGGAGAGTGTGATGGAGAACTCAGGGTTGATGACGAGCCAACAATAGAAGATGGTGATGTTGAAGATGTCGAGCATGAAGACCACGAAGCTCTGCCTCCACTCAGAAGATCAA